CAACCATGGTTACAGCGTACACGCAAAGATCGTACGCAGCGGATACCCTACGCGGCGCTATTTACACGATCTTTTGTTACTCTTTTGCCAGTGACGTCATAGTAAAATCGTATATAATTGCCTATAACTTCATTAAAAAAAAGGCCAAAACACGATTTTAAGGTTGATTCTATTATTAATGGCATATCAAAAATCCTCTCTAAAACAAAAAATCATTTTGCTAGTTCTCTTTTAAGTTGTTCTTAGGTGTTAAAATAGAACGTACAGTATTATACCCAAATAATGAAATAAAAGTGTTTTGAAAAGTACAAGTCTCCCTCTAATTAAAGACCCCTCCAATTAGAGACCAAAGCTGCTAAAGACCATGGAAGCTCCAGTCCCAATTATAGTGGTCTTTAATTGGAGGGAGATAGTTAGGGGGAGGGGGGTTGCTGTTTAAAGTTTTCTGTCCAGCGATGGTATTGCCATTGCTTATATAAGCTACAGTTGGAGCAGAATAACAATTTTTAATGAAATTTCTTCCATGGATATTACTGCAGTCATGAATAATGACATCGCTAATGTTCTCAAAACGTAAATTAAAATGCCTTCAGAGTCACAGCATGCATTTGAGTTTCAGTGATTTTTTTTTAGTATAATCTCCCATCTTCCCTACCTGTTACATTTTTATTTTCTGTTTATGCATGGAGGTATTATAGTTTACTATAATACCTCCATGGTTTATGGTTTCTTTGCTCTATGGTTTATGCAAGAGTCCTCTGCTAAAAAGCAGTAATATTGTTTATGTATATTCCATTGTTGGTGGATTATTTATCAGAAGAGAAACCCTTGGTGCAGCCGATTGTTCCCAAATGTATTAAATTGCATTAATGATGGCTGCTTCATATCTACACCTGTAAACAAGTAGAATAAAATGCACCATTGCGCCGTAATTACATAGCATCAGTACCTAGCTTGAATGATAATAAATGTTAATCACATGGATTTTAATAGTTTTTCAAACGGGCCCGCACCTCGTATTAGGGAAGCTGTATCTCAATCACAATGTGAATGAATACATTTATCTATACCCATATCTGGTACACAATTCTAAGGGGTGATGTACGATAAAAATGGCCCCTGAAAGAATGGTCCCGGAAAAAATGGCCCCAAATGGCAGGTAGGTAAAAATGGCCCCTAATGATAAAATTCAGTAATAAAAATGATTATTTTTTTTAAGTCTTCAAATATTTACATGCTATAAAATAGCAAGAATTGAATCAATCAATTAAAAAATGCCTCCCCCCCCCCCCAATTGATAAAATTCAGTAATATAATAGTTTTTCTTTTATCTTCCAACTATTTAAATGCTATAAAATAGCAAAAATTTATACAATAAATCAACATAAATCATATGCATTTTTAAAAATTCAGCAATAAAATTGACAAAGAACATTAAAAAACAATTTCTTTAAAACCATTTTGTCCTCCACAGGTTCTTTTAACTTAAACATCATACCCCATACTACAAACGAATTAAGCTCAAACATTGCTTCCTAATAAGAACAACATGATAAACAACATAGTATAAGGCATGACGTAAAATCTAATAATTAAATATTTGAATTTCAAATAGAGGAAATGCTTTCCACACCAATTAAATGCAAAAATATTACCCATTTTGATATACACTTTAATCTCTGGCTAGCTTAATATCAACATTTCTCTGACAAAAAAACAGTTGAATGCCTTATAGTCATGATATGCCTATATATGGTCATGATGTGATCGTCATTATGACCATATTTAGGCATGTCACATCAGGACTGGAAAGGGCTTTAAATTTGATGGTAATTAAAGGATTTTTATATATAAATCAGTAGAAACTGATTTTTGTCGTAATAAAAATTGGTAAAAAAGGTATTTTGATTCTTTGAGATTTTAAAGATGGATGTCCAGTGGCGGATCCAGGAATTCAAAATCGAGGGGACCCAGGAAGGGACTTTTACAGATTAAGGATCTATACCAAGCTCCACCATAGTTGGAGATGAAGTATGGAATTTTATGGCTATGATAGGACGCACTCAAACTTTAATTTATAATATATAAATATTATATATAATATAATTTTCTCTCTTTTTTACGTTTTAAAATTTAGTTTGGAATCTTTCACTGATGTTTTTATGTCTTCTGGGGACTCCTACCCAAACTTAAATGTAGTTTGCATACATGGTACTGGTATAGTCCATTAAAGGAAGAACATGCTTAAAGCGTTTGCCCAGCAACGTGATCCATCAGATATTCTGCTAGCAGAAGATCTAGAAACACACTATAACTTATGTTGTCAGCGTTAAGTAATGTGCTTTTACCTTATTGATGTTAATGTAATTTTATTTTAAAGCTGTTATTTTACACATAGTAAATTTATTACGGAGTTGTCATCGTAGGTAAATATTTATGACCTGAATATGATATGCAAACGTAACAAGATAAATTGTCTCTGCAGATTCGTTCAGAGGTGTAACATCACATCTATTTCAACAATCTTACTGGTCTGTTCTTGTACACTAATAAATCTTTTATTTTGATGGTGTAAGCAGACAGATAAAGCCAGAATAGATTCTTTAATGAAATGTCAGTTACTTGGAAAGTTTAATGTAATGTTTAATTTAATGAATACTTTCCAAGCTGTGTTTAAAATAATTATGGTATTGTTTGTAACTATATTTGTTGCTGTCTCTTATACACATCTAGATGTGTATAAGAGACAGATCAATGATAATGATATAGATGTTGTAGGTGAAGAGAGGCGGAGTTGTTGTATTCATATATTAGCTATAGAAATTCTGACATCTATTTATGTGCTTTGTTTTGTGTAGCAATTAATTAGCCAAAAGCATACTTCATTTGAGTCTCTACTAAGTCCAAGCAAGCCAGGTTGACTGTCGCGGCTCTTGTAAACAAACGCGATTGCGGACAATATCTGTCACTTTGACCGCCTTAAAGCATTACAGCAAGCTATTAATCAAACTAGAATCGTTCAATATGTTGCCAACATTTTAATCTCTATTAGATTATAATATTACTATCCGTCTGGTAATTGATTTACTGTCCCGGTCACTTTTTTTTTTTCCCTCAAGCAGTCATGAAGTGAAATCTTTTACATATTCGTTTGAAATGCTTGTTTAATGAGTGAAGAAACCTTGTCAAACTCACTCACTCACTCATTCACACAAAAATATTCATCTCCAAAGAAAATATGTGTACAACCTGAAATAACAGAATGACATTTCCTTTTCTGTTCAATCACATTTTATTTTCCAAGAAATGAAACAATATAGTCTGATTGCATATTAATAAAACATGAGAAATCAAGTACTAGTTTATTTGACATTAACTCCACTGTAGCTGTCAAGCTTTTCTTCTGTGGGTGTAAAGGTGGAATGAACATTTAATTTTAATGAATTTTAACTGTTTAAAATTCTTGGTATGCACAATTTAAGTTACTTTCATTGCATACAGGGCTTCCAAACAGTCTACATAAAATAAAAAAATAAAAAAACAACAAGGCATTTTAGGAACAAGACACAAGCCTTTATTCTTTAGACATTTGCAGCAATATTGTAAATGATACAGAATCTACTGTATCTTCACTTTAACAGTTTTGAAAAGCACATAACTAAACACATAATAGCTATACTCCACTGTCATTTGCAATATTCATCAAAACAAGATAACCTTCCTGTATCGTTCATAAAGGAGTTGGAATAACGCGCAGTATCAAATGAAAAAAAAAATCCATATTCACTTACAGCTATGTTCATACTGATTTATCTTTAAGATATGTTGCTTTTTTTTTTCTCTTTTCTGCTTTTAAGTACTCTGAATTTTCTTAAAGCCAGGCTTCGGAGGAAATTCTGTTTTTTGATGTGTTGTGCAACTGATTTCTTAAGACACAAAAATCAAATTTGACAAAAAAACTTGGAAGTGGTCAATGAGATACTGATTTTTCAATATTTAAATACTCTGACAAAAAAGGGGTGTAACCAACTTTCCCCCCCCCCCATTTTTAAATATCTTAACCACTGAGAAGTTTGTCGTCAAATATGATTTTTGTGTCTAAGAAAAGTCAGTTATACAATATATGAACATTATTTTTTTCCTGTGGAGCCTAACTTCAAAGATATTTTGTTTGTCTATGGTTTTCTTTCCACTTGAAACTTTAGATTTGTACAGAGTACTGAAAAACTGCATGCCAAATTATAGTAAATATATACACACTTTTCCAGATGTTGTGTTAGTGAACCAGCCAAATATTTCTAGCCTGTCTAGATGCTTCGGATTTTTCTATACCTCCTAATGATTATAGTTGCTAGTTCTTGTAGATACTTTAGATAGGTATAGTGTCTGGAATTACAGTGTCCTGTTGACAAGTAAGCTCCATACCGTAGTTACATGATGTGCATTTTTAACTGTCAGGAAGTGAAAAGTTCCTTGGGTAATTATATGCTTACCTTAGGTATAAAGTCAACCCCCTAAATTTGTATTGATTTCAATGCAAAATTCTCCATTCGGGTATTAATAATAATTCTTCTATAGTACCGGTATCCACCACTAATTGTTCATGGCACTTTTTCCACCGAGGCTTGAACAGGAAGGAGAAAAGGTAACAAAAGCCTGGTTCTCATGAGAGCCCTAGTATCCGGATCGGGAGCTAACCGTTAGCAGCCGTGTGAGAACATACTGTAGCCAAAACCAGGTTGGAAATCTACCATTTATGACCTAATCTCTGCTTTGCAAGAGGTATTTACTATAATGACCTGAAATATGATTTAAAGAAATGAGACTTCAAACTAGATTTAAATGATGCTGGGCAAAGTCCACCCCATACCTTCATGTGTTTGCAACCAATTATAAAATAAATTCAACATACTAGCCTGTCCTAGACTCAGGGAGTATTTAGTCCTTCATATTCTTTTGTTTGTGAATTGCAATTGTTGGGATTTGTTTGTCTTGTTAACATGAAATTTAGAAGGTAAGTTAGTCTGAGTCTTGGTGAGGCCTAGCTATGCTAGACCTGTAAAGCTCTGTCAATATTGTCAAATTTTCTTTGACAAAAAATCGTTGTATCCCTCCCTATATGAGGCATGTCGTGGCGAAATGGTTAGGTTGTCGCACAGGCCAGTAATGAGTAAATGAGCTATAAAATATGGGAGCTCAAAAAATTGCCTAAAAATCCAAATTTGTGTTTGACTATAGATCAACAGTTTAATGTCTTAATATTAATCATGTCCCTAAGATTATTAGTTTTGTAAGTGGTCAATAAATCGTTTATTTAAAGTTATTTTTATAGTTAATTCTATTAAACAATGTATGCACATAACTTTGGAAGGCAATTACTCAAAATCATGTTTATCTTGACTCTTAAAAGTGCTGTAGATTCACTTTCCAATAACTTAGGCTGGAAATGTCCAATTTTAATGAATGACCCCTCGTTTTTAAGATTACTTACTCAGGTATCTGAAAATACTAATAACTTGAATTTCAGTTTTTGCTTAGCCATTTTGCCACAACATGCCTCATAATATGTAGTCTTAATGTCATCATGACCATTTGTAGGTTTGTCACATGTTTTTGTCAAATAAATGTTGATAGTAGTCTGGATGGGGCATTATAGCCAATCAAAGATAGGAACCTCATGATATTTACATTTTCAATAGCTATTGAAGGTTAATGCTGGCTCAATATTAATTTTGATTTGGTTTCCTATGAATATGACAAATTCTTTTTTTTTAAATAATATTTTCAGGTGTGCACAGGTTTATCAAGGATCCCGCAACACCATGGGACCAAAAACTTAAGTTGGCCCGGTTCGCATGGCAGTCAGAGAAATGCTTTATACCAAACAAAGACCAGGTTCTTATAAATTGGGCGTGTACATCAATAACCCAAGCATCCAAGTAAGTTCCTTCAAAACTACTAATGTCAAATTTAGAGGGGACATGTTTCTGGTGGTGTTGTCTCAATCGGCCCCACTTTCGGGCCCCCCTTTTAGACATCTCTGAATCCGCCCCTGACTACTGTTCCATATGCTTATATATTCATAAATTTATAACACAGTTTTCAAATTCATATCCAATAACAAGCACCCGCAAATTGCTGGGGAAATGCTCTATAAACTAAATTTCTCATGTCTATTAAGCCATGTTCTCATTTAATAATTAATTTTGACCAAGATGATGGGTTACTTTATTGTACTTTAACAAGTTGTACCATTTGGATATAAGTATGCATTAGGTTTTAACAAGCATACAGCTAAATGGCAGGTAGTTTTACGCATAATTGGTCAGTCTGCTAGTGAGTAGATTCCGTGAAAAGGTCCAAATCAAACTGGGTTTTCGAGAGTGTAGGGTTTTTGTTTATTTGTGAGAATCAAATCTTCATAGGATTTTAACCTAAGCTCAGTGGCACAACAATGAGGGCTGGAGCCCATTGCTAAGACTTCTTTTGGGCTGCACTGCCCTTGGAAAATATATTCCTCTTTAGCATTTTAAAGGCATATTATTTGTGTTTTTTTTTAGATGTTAGTGGTCTTTAAACAGGCCACACTCAGCCTATGTATGGGGAAAAAATGCTGTGAATATCCTAAACCCTTTAGGGCCTGGGCCCCTGGCTTTAGCCATTGAAAGCTCATAGCTGTTACACCACTGCCTACGACTGGTGGAAGGCAAGCATTTTAACCACAATTTCATGCTTCACTTTCAGTGTGTAAAGGTATCTCACCGACTTGAACATAGTTGTAGGCTTACAGCAAACATTGCATGCAAAACTTAATACGGTAGCAACAAATATTGGTGATGCTTATTACACAAATTGCTGCAAAGCCGCTGTAGATACCTACGGTACCACAATACTAGCCTAAGCCTTAATTGCTGCGAACGTAAGAAGACATTTGCAAGAAGAAGCAAAAAAAAATGTTAAAAGCATCCCAAATTATCAAAAGCTTACATATGAGATGTGTGTGAATGCGTGAAACATACAAAATATCTTGGGAGTTAGAACTTGTTACAAATATTAACATTTTTTTTCTAAGTGTCTGAGTGTGAATTTTGTATAGCATATTTGTTCTTATTCATAATGACCTGTACTGCCAAACTATGTCACAATTGTCTTGAGATAAGTTGTGAGAACATGACATAAGTACTGTACTATGATGTAATTTAGTATCTGTGTTTTCTTCATTTCGTCAAAACATTCTCTAAACATTATTTTTTTGTAAGATACTCTTGGTTTTGTGATTGATAACCATATGGTCAGCTAAGCAAGGCTGACAAAGTTTGTTTACTGATCGCTTATTAAAGTTATCACTGAAGTCACAACACGATGTGACACCTCTTTACTGAGCAACACAACCCAAGTAGCTTATATTGCTTATTGTCTCCTCAGCTAAGCTACAATTTACATTGAATTTTCAATGAACATAAATTTCTAACTAAGCTTTACAACATTGCATTAGTATTTTTGATTTAAATACTTATATTGACTATTAAATATACATAGGATAACTAATAATACTGTATATGCCACGCTTTTGTTTTTAGTCAATTAAAAGTTATTAGGCTTCTGATATATCATTTGAAAAAGGTATAATATAATATAAGATAATTATTTGCAATGTGTGTTACACTGAGTGAATAATTTCATATGAAAAGTAGAACCATGTTTAAATACAGTTTCTGGAGGGAAAACATTTTTGGATATGTTGTACAACTGATTTTTCTAAGACATAAAAAGGATTTCTGACAAAAAAACTCTGTAACAGTATAATGAGATTCAGATTTTTGAATATTTAAAAACTGGGGGAAAAGAGGTGTAACAACCCTATTTTCACCTCTTCCCCCAAACTTTTAAATATTCAAAAATCGGTATCTTATTAACTGTTTCCGAGTTGTTTGTCAAACACCCTGTTTGTGTTTGGCTTTAAATCACTTCATTGGCTATCAATCCACTGTACCTCACTAAATAGACAATGAACTTTAGCCTAATCTGATTTAGAGACACACTGAATCCTTTCATTTACTAACTAGTGTAGCAGTAATCAATTTTCATTTAATGTTTAAATCTATTTAAAAGGCAGCACTTCTCATGTTTTTTTAAACAGATTCAAAATGTTCAAAATGTTTAATAATGTATAGACTATGCACATGCACATACATAAATACATGATTTAATTTAGAAAGCATACTGTACAAATTGAAATTGATGAATAAAAAAAAATATTCACAAGATGGCGCTCTAAACACTAGCTAATCACTATTTTGGATGTGACTTTGGTACAATTAACTCATTGGTTTTATCAAAGATACAGTACTAGAAATACAAGATAGAGCACTCACATAGCAAAAATAAGGCGGAAATTGATCCAGACGTACGCGGCGCCCTTATCTTTTTATAATGCAAGTTTTCTATACTTGGTCCAGATGTACAGGGCGCCCTTTTGTTGCTACGTATTTCCAGATGCACACGGCGCCCTTCTTTTTGCACTAATGGAGGAAAACTTTATCACTAATCAGAGTCCAGTCATACGATTCTGCGCATTTGTGTCTGTCATTTTATTGTTTTGATTTATTTATGCCTACTTGTTTGTATCTTATGGATAATGGCAATGATTTCAACCTCCGCAAAAGGAGATTATTTATTCACAGTTATGTAACGGTAGCAGAAGTTTTTTAGATCCAGTCGTACGCGGCGCCCCATTGTTTGTATTCCCACCATGCATTTCGGTGGAACAGTTTTTTTTTGTGGACAAACTCTGTTTGTGTTTCTAGTATCTTTAGTTTTATGTCATCATAACATTTAATATGTTTTCTTGTACAATTACCATATTATTTTGGACACTAGGGGGAGCACTATCTTTTAATCATTTGTTTTACTGAATGTATATCTGAATACACATTCCCACATTGATGTCATCATAACCATTTATAATGTTTTCTCAGGTTAGAAATCGGTCAGGATTGTGTTCACCAGCTGTGGCTGTATCTTTCCGATGTTCTCGGAAGCATCCATCTTCAGCAGTTGATTAATACAGGAGCCCTCTTCAGTCTCCAAGCAAACTTTAGTATTGCGGTGATTGAGTTTCTAGAGGACAGCATTCATCATAAAGACCATTTGACCTTAGTTCTGAAATGTTGCCGTTACATTTTAACTTACCCTACACTGGCTGTTAATCTGACATCAAACTTTGAAAAATTGGTACGTAGCAGAATAATCTGTCGTTTAGCTAATAAAATTTTAAGTAATTTATATTTTAAAAACATCATCTTTGTCCACACTCAGATTTTATGTGACAAGCAAATGTGATATGCCCATATTTGGGTGTAATATGACATCATCTTGCGCATGGGAACATCACGCAAATTTGTCACATAAACTGATAGTGTGGAGAGAGCTTTGTGGGACATTTTTTATACCTTGTTTTGTAAACTTGCCATCTTTTTAGCTCAAGACAGTATAGCAATACTGTGCGCGTTTGTTTGTGAGAGCCGTGTTTCTTGGTTTTACGCAATGAAAGCCTTGTTAAATCTGATTAAAAAATGTGTCATATTGTTTTCCATTTTAGGCGCAATTAACTGTTACTCTGATCAAGATAAGCGTTACTTATGTTGTAGAGACGGGAGAATTGTGCGAGGACCTAAAATATGTTCTAGAGGTGATTCTAAAGCACTATCAGTCCTCATTGGTCAAACATACCTCAGCTAGAAAGGTAAATATGAATGAATTCGCTGTAAAACTTGGTTGCTGAGATGCTGTCTTGGTTAGACGTTTTTCATAGCCACAGTATGATTTTGCTCGACTTTCCTGTGCATGATCCTGTGGATCGGATACACATTATTATGTTACGTTTCGAAGCCAAATAAATCTTTCTTTAAACTTCTGTCATTACTTAGAATACTTTTTGTTTGGCAAGCTTGCCATTGTTCTATTGTGGTGCTTACGAGCCCATAGGCCTACTCTCTTCATAATAGGGACTGCAGTTTTAGGTCTATCCTATTTCATGTATTATTAAAAAAAAAAAAAAAAAATCTGACCTGCCGACCTTTGATCTCGATTTATTCCATTTAAGGCCAACACTTTTTTTTTTTTTGGCCTAATGAAGCTTGATACTATGGAATAATACGAATATATAAAATAATAAAGCTTAATTTTAAGACTGAAATCTATAGATGAGTTAAATCTAAAGCACTGCAACTGCTTAACAACCCAGACCCAATATGCCACACCATTATGCTGTGAAATCACTGAATAAATGCTGTAGATCTGTGTGATGAATTATTACCTTTCTTTAAGCCTTCATCATTCAATATAAGCTGCCATTTTCTAGAACTACAAGAAAGTCACTATTAGTGGACATCAGCATCATCTTTGTATCCATGGTCTAAAATACTTTGCATGTGCATTAACATATTTCTTTGCAACCGAATTCCTCCTTGTTTTTTACCAACTTCAGACATTTAAATTTCTCAAGGCGGCCGTTAACAAATAGTTTTCAATATAGCTCTTATTTATTTTTTTTTATTATCCATTTGTTGTCTTATTTCTGTGAAAACTATGGTTGCCATTCGTCTGTAACATGCTAACAATGTTACAAAGATACCAAAACAAAAAAAAAGACTAGTTAGTCTTCAGTCTTCGGAAGTAATTATCTGCCTTGGCAGATAAATTCTGCTAGAGAAGATTACCATTAAGAAGCTAATCAATTATAAATGAATGTATAATGTACTTTGGGCATTGTGCTATTCCTGAATATTCTACTACTGTCTATGTTTTTTATTGTCTATTTTGGATACATGCGTATTGTTAAGAGCATTGGGTTTCATAATCCTTGTTATATTTTATTAAATCTTGATTATTCCAATGTAAAACAGCCATATACAATATTGTAGCCATGTGCGGAAATAATTTTGCATTACAAAAACACCGTCTGATTTGGGTACATGCATGAGAGCATTGTGTTCCATAAGTATACCTTTGTTATATTTTATTAAAAATTTGATTATTCCAGTGTAAAACAACCATATACTGTAATAAGCAGCCATATGCTGAAATAATTTTTGCATCACAAAAAAACAATCAGATTTCACTATATATTGCCAAGGGTTACAAGTCTAAAGGCCTGTTTATACTTGCAACGATAACGATAAGGCCAAAAAAAATGTGTTTGCCACGTTTTGGGAAAATCCAAAAAAATAGGTAGGTCGGTAGAAAAACTTTTTTTAAACCAAAAATGTGTTTCTGCTTAAAAAAAATTGGCCTAAAAACTAAAAAGCATTGTTCATATAGAAAAATAAGAGAAGTTTTGACACTAGGACTATTCGATGGAAATATTTAGACAAATCATTTAAAATGATGTCATAATCATGAAAAAACGATAAACTCATAGTAGTAATAACGTTTTTGTCGTTCTTCAATGATCATGATGTCATTTTAACTGATTTGTCAAAATTGTTGCTATCGTATACATAATAAATCGTTATCGAATTGTCCTAGTGTAAAAACTTCCCTTATTTCTTTTATTTTCCATATGAACAATTGCTTTTTAGCTTATTATCGTTATTGTTATTGTTGCAATTATAAACAGGCCTTAAATGCTTTGCCTCCACTGTCAGGTTTTATGATGCATTGTTGTGATTTGCTGTATATGGGCATAATATCATATTATACCTATATATGGTCATGATGATGTCACACCAAATCCATTAGAGAGCAATTCTTGGGTATTTTTGTCTCATAAAATTTGATAGAGGGTTTAATACAGTTTTTTCAGAAATTTATGCAATTAAGAATAATGATGATGCTGCCAGTTATGGGCTCTTCTCCCACCTTTACCTGTATTTAAGATGCATAGACACCACTGCAAACCAGGCATACAACACAAGCTACAGTGACCTTAAATTAAATGTTTAATTGTTTTATAAAAAAAATTTACATTCCAATATATATTATATTCAGCCAAACTATCCCAATTTTATTTGTTAAATCGTATTTTGTATATTTTTATAATATTTCTTCTCAGTTTTATTTTACATTAAATTTAATTCTCAAATATTTTTTTCTCCCTATTTTTTGTTTATTTGGTGTATCTTGTTAATTATTTAAAGACATTTTCCTGGATAAAACTAGTTTTTTAATTAATAATTATAATATTTTGATTTTGTCATGTGAATTTTGTATTTGTTATCATCAGTGTTTATAGGTTCTCTATGATTTGTACAAAAACTTACTTTTGTATTGATATGTTATTTAGAAATAAATGAAACTGAAACACCAGATTGTTAATCTCTTATCCCATTTTCATATACAATTGTAATTTACCATCACTTATCTATCATAATTACTTTTCATTTCTTTTCATGGCAGTTACTTGTTTCGACTCAAGAAAACTTACTAATTCCAAGTTTTCAGTTATTGGGGGAAACATCATCTGACCTACTTAGCATTCAAGATCAACTAGAGGTCATTCTATCTATGTCAATCTTTAACAGGTAATGGTTGTATTAAACAAGTATATTTACCCTGGATACTGAGGTCAGATAATAAACAGTAATTTGTGTTCTGACCATTAAATTTGTCAAAATAAACAGTTATTCTGGCTTCGGATTTATGTTTATAAATCCATGGTGTGGTATCCACCATACAATATAATTTATTGTAATTGTTGGCTGTATTTAAGCTTTAATTTGTTCTTTTTTTTTTTTTTTTTAAAGAGAAACAATGGTTTTAAATTTAATTAAAGTAATGCTAGACTATATACTAAAGTATCTGAAGTTGATGTAAAGGTATGGTTTGGAAACAGTTAACCTTTAAGATAACGTAAATCATTTCATTTGTGATTGTCAGTTCTTGTTTTGAAATTTGAGAGATGAACATTTTAGCCTGAAGCAACCTCTGCTTCAAATAACAAAGGACTCACATAATGTGTTTCGCAACATTGAAACTGAAAGCCCCTGTAATCTTCTCGTAGAGATCTGCATGCCGGTTACGTGGATTACTTGAAGTCGTTGGCGTTTAAGCATGTGAAGCCGACAGAATTGAAGCTGATCATATTACAGATTCATCACTTCTTTGAGTTCTTAAGGGATGTTGTTAACAGCTATGAGGTAAATTTTTAAGTTTTTTTTGTGTACAGTATTTTGCATCTTCAATTTTAGTCCATAGAGGGCAGTATAATAAATTTTGCTTTGTGTTGTGGATTCTATTGATATTGGTAGCAGTACAGGTAAATGAAGGTCATCATTGTAATCATTGTTATGAAACTCATCCTCATTTTTACTTATCAAATATGATTATTCTTATCCCATCATCATCATTCATAGAATCAGAATCCAGTAGCATATCTGGTGGCATATCTTGAAATGGTGGGTGGGGATGGGGGGTGTCACCTGATTGAGGGCATGGGGCCCTGATAGGGATGCGAAGGTAAAGTGGGGAACTCAATAATTAAGTTAGGAAGGAGCTAGGTGATAGGTTTTTTTTTTTTGCTTCAAACAGTTTCAATGGAGAACAAGCTCTTTTATGGCGGTGTGTGCTCCCCTCCCCTAGATACGCCACTGCCAGAATCATTATATTATATATTGTTGAAATAATTCTTTTCAAATCACCTTACAGGCAATAGTATAATAGAAGTTCACTTATCTCTTAACAGGGTCAAAGTTTGCAGTGCATTTTTGGTGCTTTCCCAAAACTATTCAAATTATTTCTTGGTTCTTTAAAGTGAGTATTTAAAACCAATTATAAAGATATTTCCTGTGTAGAGGGGAAGAACTTACAAATTCAATGTTTGAATTGCATACTTTGTATTTTTCATAACAACTACTGCAGTGGATATGTGCGCTTTATTATTATATGTTGATTTTTGTACAGACCATCCTTTGACATAGTATTTAACATTGTACGTGAACTTGCTTTTTTGTTTATCTGCAGACTGCAATTATAATAGTTGTTACCACATCCTATGTGAACTTCAAGCCTGTAGCCAGGGGGGTTCAAAAGAAACCCCTTTTCAAGAAATGCCCTTATAAATTATTAATAAAAAGTGCCTTTTGCATGAAAGTTTTTACATAAACTCCAAACATTTGTAGTTTAGCATTGATTTATGAATTGGAGTGCCATTTCTGGATCATCTGAGGTTTTTTATCTCTAAAATCTCCCCCAACTATGGTGGGGATGAGGTGAGTGTGGACTCAAAGTGCCCTTTTGTGAAAAAGGGCACTTTAGATATCCTGCCTACAGGCTTGAAGTTGTTTTTCTTCATCTTCAAACCACCTGTTGATCACTGACCAACCTGTGTGGACTTGTTTTTTATTTATCTGCAGACCATCTGATGGTATAGTATTTTACCATCCTATATTTCTGCAGCCCATCTGATGATATAGTATTTACCATCCTGTGTGATCTTTTTTATTTATCTGCAGACCATCTGATACTATATTATTTACCATCCTATGTGAACTTGTATTTTTTATGTGCAAACCATCAGATGATATAGCATTTACCATCGTTCATAAACTTCTTTTTTTTTTACTATCTGCAGACCATCTGATGATATAGCATTTACCTTTCTGTGTAAAATGTGTAGTATCCTGAATATATGTATAGACCCTATCGAATCAGTACCCACTGCAGAAGGTACCATGGAAACAAACCAAACTGAAACCTCCAAGCCAAATGATTTGATAAATTGGGATTTGGCATTACCATGTGTTGAGCAAATGTTGGGTATCGCCTTTAAACATAACATATACCACGTAAGTTACATATTATTTAATTTCTAATTCTTTTACTAACCTTGTCACATCTTTTCTTAGGTTAAATTTTAACATACACTGTATATTGCATTAATTTACATTTAATTTGTTTTAATCATCAGGTAGGAATGTGTCTCCACCTATCATTTTTTTTTTACATTGACTCTAGTTTCTTCATTGTTTTTAGGTGGCTAGTGATGCGGCAGATGGAAAACCTGTATTCACTTGGCTAAATGATCTTCTTCAAAAGCTCCTAAATGTGGATCTAGAGTAAGATACCTTATTTGACTTTAATAGTCATTAACATAATACACAATAATGTTCTAGATGCCATTGCTCAATCTTTATTGTGGTTCATTCCAAATAAAAGATTTCTTCACAAAAGTATTAATCGTTTATGTGTTATTTCAACTTCTGTTTCTTTGTCTATACAGATTGTCTTCATCCTGGTATCGATGTCTCCACCATATGGTGGATCTAAACCACCTTCTGGTGGAACCACATCTCAAAGACATCTTTGCCAAAAGTTTGCTGAATGTGCCGTCTGCAGAAGACCCAGCAAAGACCAACTTCTTCGACCATGTCCTTCAGGTGTACACCAAGCTGCGTCAGTTTGATAGATTTGTTGAGGTTCTGTTGGTGTGCGTTCGTGAAACTGAGATCTCTAGTTTTGATTGGCTTGATAGTTTTCAAAAGTAAGTTTTACCAACTGTCTATCAGGTGCCCCAAGTCTTCCTAGAAACTAATCCGTCTTCTGCAGTTTAACCAAATGAGATGTGTTTAGAAAGCTCATTAAACCACGTCTCCTTGAAGTTTTTTTTCCAAATTAACTTGAGCCCTGTGACATTTAAACTGCAGACCATATGGATTAAAAATAGGCTCTTGATAGGAGCATGTGTATACTGCAGAAACTAGGTCAAAATTACCCTAAACATTGTCCATTATCGGACAAGGTGTTAGCAGCCATTGGTATTTTGTCAAAACGTATTACCAATTTCCAACTCCCTGATAAAACTGCATTCACACTCCACTTGGCATGGCATGCCTGTCAAATGAAATAAACTGAAATGGAACTTAAAGCTGTGGACTCACTGCGTCGTTCGATGGTCGTACAATTGTGGGCCGACGAATCCAATTCTGTTCCCTATGAGCGCTGAACGATGCGAAATCGTCTGTTGATTGTAGGTGGCAATCTTAACAGATCCTCATTAAAAACGATGTTGCGCACGTATTGTGCCGCTGCGTTTTCCGTAGATTCGCGTCAGCTGTCGACCGTCAGGCACAGTGAGTGCCTGGCTTAACACATTCCATTTTACAGAAAAATTCCACTACCACAGCATAGAGTATATCTGCGCCAGCACAGTATACTAAAACAAAGATGTATATTTTTTACTATTTTTATTATTTATTGTGTTATATCCAGTCATCAATTTGATTACTTTGGTCATTACTCAAATGAGTGACTATCAATTGAGTAATGTATGCTTTGATCCATGCTATTTCTTTCATGCTTGTCAGTTTTCCTTCCTGTGTACATGGACTCACTCCTGGATTAAGTCTGGATGTTTGGAGGCTATTTCTCAATGAGATTTCCAGTAACTACATTCAGAAACTGAAGGCAGTAGATGAACCACCAGCAAAGAAAAGGAAAGTGCAAAATCATGCAATACCTGTGAAGAATTTGGAGGCAATCTCTTCCTTATCAAAGATGTTCATTCTTGAGCTACCCCTCATTAACATATGCTCTATGGCCCTGAATTTGAAGATAGTGAAAGAGCTCATGATGGATATGAAAACAGATTTACTGGTTCCACTGTTAAAAAGTGACCAAGTTAATCAGGTTGGTAATTGCAGTAGTAGGTCCCACCATGTTCACCATTCCAATCCATACTTAAACTTAAAAGAGATAGGAATACAAAATTGTTAATGCACAAGAGACAAGAAAACAAATGGAGAAAACAGTATATTTAAATTATTTTGAAAACCAAAAAGAATAATTAGTTTCGTCTAGATTTTAACACAGACTATATCTTCTATTACAGTAGAACCCCCTCCTTTGGGACACCTCTATTAAGGGGACAGTTTTTTTGGCCATGAAGTGAGGAAAATGTGTCTTAACACTATAGCCAACCCTTATTCAAGGGACACCCCTATAATGGGGCACTTTTTTCGGTCCCAAGTTTGTCCCTTTAATAGTGGTTTTACTGTATTAGTTTTAATTTCATCATTAATCTTTTATTTTACTAATTACTGTGATGTTTTAATTTTTCGTCTAGGATTCTTCCCTTACACTAAGCACATTCATGCTGTCTTATGCTTGGGGAGAAGCTAATCTGTTGCTCAGGCAACACACAGCATACGGTGTTGATGAAAAGCTAAGCCTCCCAGAACCATTGAAACATGGTGACTTTAGCTACCTTCATGAGTATGTACCTCCCAAAGTGTGGAGAGCAAGCTCCTCAAAGTGGGTGGAAGCCAAGGATAGGAGGCTTGACGCTGTAATGGTAAGATTTAATTAATTTACATAATATTTATCGAGAGAGAGAAATCCAGCACAGATGATCTGGGTTCATAGTGACCAATGTACCAATTATTCTTTGATGCGTAAGCCTTGTTTGCATTGATTCAGTTTTGATAAAGACGAATGGTAATTTTATCTAGGCTAAATTATACTGCTGTTTGCATTCTCATTTAAATATGCAGTGGGTTTTACCAAGACTGTGGCTAAATACTATTTGTTATGCAAATATTTGAACATAGCATGCATTTAAATGTAGTTCAAATTAAAATTCTGATTGAGTGATTGAATTTATTTGGTAATAAACAGTAAAACCATAAACAGTAAAACCATGATAGTTAAAACGATAATAGTAAAGATCTTAAAAAGCTAAAAAAAAAATATATATATTTTGTATATTATAAATATTTAAAATTCAACAATGCACAATAACCACAAATTAATTTTTGATTAAGCGCAATATCTCAGCTTACCTTTCTTGCTCTGTGGTGCTGAACTGTACTAAAGGAAGTAGCTTTAAATCATGTATTAATAACACAACTAATTTATGATTTTCTTCATTTATGTTTAGATACTTTTGAGTTTTCAGCAGGTGTGTAGCCTGTTGCTATATGAGGACACTGACGACACTACAGTGAAATCTACCATAAAACAGATAATGGGTTCAATTTTGTCTTACAGTACTGACTTAAAAATATCACCCAATGTATTGTGGAAGGGCCAAGT